GTATGTACAGATTAATGTAAACTAGAGTTACTGATACATCTGTATGTACAGATTAATGTAACATCATCACTGATACGTCTGTATGTACTAGATTAATGTAACAGCATTACTGATACGTCTTTACATACAGATTAATGTGACAGCATTACCGATTAATGTAACATCATCACTGATACGTCTTTACATACAGATTAACGTGAAAGCGTTACTGATACGTCTTTACATACAGATTAATGTAACAGCATCACTGATACGTCTGTATGTACAGATTAATGTAACAGCGTTACTGATACATCTATATGTACAGATTAATGTAACAGCATTACTGATACATCTGTATGTACAGATTAATGTAACAGCATTACTGATACATCTGTATGTACAGATTAATGTGACAGCGTTACTGATACGTCTGTATGTACAGATTAATGTAACATCATCACTGATACGTCTGTATGTACAGATTAATGTGACAGATCTGAGGTAACAAAGAACTTAAAATCTTCAGTTGTGTTTTCATTATTGTTGTATAATGTGATGAAACTGTTTTTAGTATTTCAAACCTGCGTTATTTAGTTAGTATTAGGTGTACATGTATTTAAGTTTATTAAAAAATATTGTCTTAAATTAAACTTTTCTAATTAGTTGGTAATATATATTTCTTGTTCATTTGACATAACGATTTATTAATAATGAATATATATATATATCCTCAATCCATGTACGATAAACGGATTACTATATGCGCAAGGTTAATTGAGTATTGAAGTTAAAAATACAGATACATGGTGGTATGAAGAAATTGTTCTATCTAGTTAAAATAGTCCAGATTTTCTCATTCAATCACTAATAAACAGAAGGAATTTAATAAAAGATAGGTTAAGGTTTGATTAGTATGCGCTTTTAACCTTTTTTTAATTAAGTGTTGTGCAATTATCTTTTATGTAATTATTTGTACTGTTAATAAAAATGCCCATACTTAAACTGTGGTCTAACTTATCCTGAAAGTGTGCAATGCAGAAATCTTTGTGCGCTAATCACAGAATCCAGTTATGTTTCAAATTATATGGATTGGTTCAACCTCAATCATGGTTGGTGAATAATGAAACTTACCAATTCATTTTCTTTGTATTTTATTGTGATTTTTCTTCATTCCAAACTATCTTTTAAATGAACTTGTATATAAGTAAAAGTGTAACAGTGCACGATTGATGAATTTTTTAGGAGGTACAAGTACGATAACATATTACATTAACTCTGGAAATAGTTTTGGGTTTGTGGGATACATTTTAACATTCTGAACACTTTTTTTTTGTTGACACTTGTCAATGATGCTTTTTGCTCAATAGGCCAGCAGGGTTACAGCACTCAAAATGTTAGTCATACAAGTTAATGATAAGTGTAGGTAGCACTAAATATGGTAATTATATATAAATAACTGTGTGGTATTGTGTGTCAATATTGATAGTTTTAACGTACACAGTAAATGTAAGAAATTACAGAAACGTGAAAACATCGTGTTCTTGAGCTCCAGAGTATATAAAATTGATGCCATATTTTTTGTTATTTGTGCTATTACAATCTGTTCAAATCATAACCATCAAAAAGTTATTCTTTTGTTTGTAGTAGAGAAATTGTGCTAATAAATATGTTTGTAGATGAATGCTTTATATTTTTATTAAACAGCATAAATACGGACGTACATTAGAAAATTCTCCACTATTAAAATTTAACGTGATGTAATAATGATTTAACTGACAGTATTTAAACCAACGATAAAGACTATGACTCACAGGAAATAGTGTAGTAAGTTTAGGTAGTCAAAATGAAATAACTTTATAGTTAAGTGTAATGTTGCCCAGTCCTTGTAGATTAGTAAACGTGTCACATTATAATTAAAGTTTAACACAATTACGTGTCTTATCAAGCTTTTTTTAAACGTAAATATGTATGTGTGAGCTACAAATTTTAAGAGTACTTCAGTCTCTTGTAAGTCAAGCTAATGATATGTTAGTCACATAGTAACATCATATAAATGTAATACAAATCAAAATACCGATCTTATGTTAATAAGTTTATATCTTATTGGAGCACGCTGTCATCCACAAATCATGTATTTTACTGAACCACATGATCACGAGCCAATGAAATTATGGACACAATACCAGCCTAATGGCAGATTCAACAACGTTATATATTACATTGTGTTTCTGCACGACACACAGTCAGAACGAGTTTCCTAAGATAACTTTAATGATTTATAAAACTTGTGTTCAGCAGAGGAACTGTGTTGTATATTGTTCCTCAACAAAGTGAAATAATTAAACATATTAATAGACACGATCAACTAATACTTTCTATTTATATGGAGGAGGTACAAAGCTGTCATACGTAATTTTAGTTATTTCTTCAACAGTAATATAATTATATATTCTATAAACTGTGTTTTTTTCTATATAAACATTACAAAACTACAATCTTTATTCATTCTAGATCAGTTTAAAATTTCCTCAAACTGATGTAATCACAACTCCAATGAAAACGGGAAAAAAAAATGGACATATAGATGAAATACTCCTTTCGAACTTCACTGATACATATTGCTATTGAACACAAAATGTGATTTATGTTTAAGTTGTTACTAATGGAATGGTCCTTATATAAACTTTTTGTTTGTGGTTATGTACAAAGCTACATGATGGGCTATCCAGGCTGTGCCCACCAAAAGTACTGAAACCTGGATTTTAGTGTTATCAGCTTTCAAAGTTACCACATGAGCCCCTAATATAATGGATTAGCAGAAGACCTGTCTTTGTAGAATTATGCACTCATTTAACATTGAGAACATGTTAAAATCTTAGATTAGAACTCTTTGTATAGGATATACCAATGCTATGGGGGTCTGGGGAGCATACTCCCCCCCCCCCCAAAAAAAGGTGTTATGAGATTAAATCTAGAAGCAATTTTTCATTAAATATAGCTTAAACAAACATCCAATGAAACGTCAACAACTCATCATTTTGTTGTAACACTGTATGGAGAGCTAGACTTAATTTAGCATAAATATGTGTTTTATTATAGTAAAGTACTGCACTATCTACATGCAGAGTAGTTATTAATTATTAAATTATATAACTAATTTAAATAACTCTACAACAATAGTATACTAGCTATTTCAATCATTGGCTAAATACTCACTGAAAAATTATTATTTAGATCTAGACTGCATGATTGTGAGTTTAGAGATAAAAAGCATATGATAGCAGTTTTTAAAGTGAAATTATCACAGACTGTATTGTAATAACAGAGCAGAGAAGAAGAATTCGTCTTGTCAATTGTGGTCTAAAGTAATTGAACCAGCCTGGGTGGACTTTGATGTAAAATTAAGTACTTTAACTCTAAAAATGGCAATCATCTCAGGTGGGGGGAAGAGAAGCAATGATTATCTGAAGGCTCCAGCCACCATCTAACCAAAAGAAATGTCAAACATCATCAGGATGCGAGACAAATAGCACTTACTGAAAGGGTAAAGCGTGAACTTATTGGAAACAGAAGTAAGACATACAACTACATGTTCCAATTCAGCACTGACACAAGGTTTCTGATGCAAAGGACAAGTAGGATACACGGAAGTTAACACCTAACTAGAATGGAAAATTGTTATACAAAATAAGTAATGGAATACCATATTCCAGATCCTGACCTTACTTCTGAAGGTATTGGCAAATAATTACTAATTATCTTCTTTTTTTTCTTCCAGTAACAAATCCAGGCTTGTTACTAGCAGTAACATTCTTCTTCAAAATGCACTGTAACTGTGTCAGAGTTAATTATTTCATGTATTAAATGCTAATAAATATAAAGAGTGGCCCAAAAGTACCATACAGTTGCATATGTTGAATCTATAAAATTGTTTTTAGTTGATTCAAAAATAATGGCTGGAAACTTGACTAATGACCAACAGAAATTGGTGCTGAAACATTACTGGAAATCAGAAAACACTGAGACTGTCAGAATGGAGTGGACTGAAACGTTCAGGACTCACCTTCAAGCAGGCTGTCGGTTTATCGCATCCGCAATAAATTCAATGCCACTGGCTCAATTGCGAATGTTTATAAATCTATGTTAACTAACAGAAACAGTAATACTAGTGCAAACATTTGATAACCAATTGAATAGAAGTAAAATTTTATTCTCACAAAATGTCAGTATTAACTACATCTATATTTAATCAGAAATTAACTACAAGACAGTACATTACAGGCACATGAGAACCAGCTAGAAGTCTGTAATTGTTACCAGATTAAATAAATCCAAGTGTCCCCAAGATGAACAAATACAAAAATAATTATAATTACTTTCAAAGTAGAAAAGTGCTTTGAATCAAAAGTAAGCGATTATAAAAGTCCAAATAAATAAGGATAAAGCCTGAAAGCTTCACTGGGAAATACAATCATAAGAAACTGAAACATCTCCACATGTCACGTCAGACGATACTTGTGTATAGATGCACATCATGCTAATACAACAGTAAACTGGTAAATAATTCATAAGTATAATGAAGTGGTTTGGTTTGGAACTTACCACTAAAAATAAACACATAATTTTAAATCACTGTTTGTCAACTTACTATCATGTCAGAGTTTTGAAACAGAGTATGTTAAGAGTATTACTTTTTGTACAGTATCCTCAAAATAAACACTTCATTATGCTTATAAATCACTGTTTGTCAACTTACTATCATGTCAGAGTTTGAAACAGGGTATATTAAGCAACTAAATTATTACTTTTTGTACAGTATCCTCAAAATAAACACTTCATTATGCTTTTAAATCACTGTTTATCAACTTACTATCATGTCAGAGTTTGAAACAGGGTATATTAAGAGTATTACTTTTTGTACAGTATCCTCAAAATAAACACTTCATTATGCTTATAAATCACTGTTTGTCAACTTACTATCATGTCAGAGTTTGAAACAGAGTATGTTAAGAGTATTACTTTTTATACAGTACAGTGATTTATAAGCATAATGAAGTGTTTATTTTGAGGCATGATAGTAAGTTGATATATTAAGAGTATTACTTTTTATACAGTACCCTCAAAATAAACACTTCATTATGCTTATAAATCACTGTCAACTTACTATCATGTCAGAGTTTTGAAACAGAGTATATTAAGCAACTAAATTAACTGTACAAAAAGTAAATCAGTGATTTATAAGCATAATGAAGTGTTTATTTTGAGGTGACATGATAGTAAGTTGACAAAGTAATACTCTTAATATACTCTGTTTCAAACTCTGACATGATAGTAAGTTGACAAACAGTGATTTAAAAGCATAATGAAGTGTTTATTTTGAGGGTATTTATAAGCATAATGAAGTGTTTATTTTGAGGATACTGTACAAAAATAGTAAGTTGACAAACAGTGTTATGTCAGAGTTTGAAACAGGGAATATTAAGCAACTAAATTATTACTTTTCTAAGGAACAAAAGTGAGGATACCTCACTTTGAAAGTGCATCACAATATGAATCATATTTTTGGACAAAGCCCTATTCACATTGATTATGAAAATGTGTTGTATTCTAAATTTTTGACATTCTATAGCAGAAAGGTGGAGAATAAAGTTCATTATTTTAAGAAATTCTTAGAAAATCTATTTTCACTCTTCAGAATAAATCACATTAAGTCTAAATTAAAACTGCAACTTTCTAAGTTAAATGTAAAGACAACTAATGAGAATATTATAAATATTATACTTTTAGATGTATAAACTACAAACATTTTTTTTTGCCCATAATTTGTAAAATTTATTTTGATATTTTACACAGGGAGAAAAAAATTGCGAAATTTATCACCTCAGAAACACTAGATCACAATATCTTCGCACAAATGTTACTCGTAAAACAGAGAAAATGCTAAGTTTATACACTTCTACAATATATTATCATCTGAGGCTTATTAAAGGTAATTTTCTTTTGCAAATGGAAGTTGGGTATAAAATTAAAGGTTCAACAATTTTTCTTAGGACTATTAATACAACCAGAGATTAATACTGAAAATCTGACCCAATAACACAAGAAAAATCACTTTGGAATTAAATATTCTAAGTGCAGAAAGCTCAATCATATATTCTAAGAAATTAAAATGTGTAGGAACACAATAAGATAAAAAAAATTGAAGTTTTAAAAGTAAATCTCTGATAAAACATGTTTTCTACTATGAACATAAAACTTAGGATACACAGTATTCAGTGAATACTGACATCAATAATAAAAAAACTGAATAATGTGTTTTATCATCAACTGTTATTTACTTCCATCAGGACTATGATTCTACAAAATCTTAATGCATTATGTATGTCTTTAATGCTTTTACATATTCACTACAGGTCGTTATATGTCAACGTAGTGTTACGATCAAACTGAAAGAATCCGATTGCAATGATTCAAGATTTACTTATTCTGCACCAAGTTTCCATCACTGCTATTAGTCAAATGGATTTCTGTTATCATCATCATCATCTGAATCACCAGAGTCATAAACTGTTCCTTTCCTAAGCTGCTTTCTCTGACTGCCAATAGTAGTATTTTTGTTCACATGTTTCGTACGACTCCATCCAATTTGATCCTGTGACTCAGTTTTTGTTTTTTTTGGTGGAGAATCGTACTCATCTCCTGAACTGATTTCAACTGGTGAGTCATAAAAACTTTGTTTTCTTTTTTAAATTGTTTTATGAAGGCTTGTTTCAAAGTGTTCCTCACGGGAGCTTCTGTGCTGTCCTTTTTTGACCCACGGCCTCTGCCTCTTCCTCGGCCACGACCTCTTTTGTTAGCGGCAACATTGGATTCGGCGCTGAGCGTAGTGTTAGATCTAGATCCTCTTCTCGATTGAGCACCTCGTCCTTTTCCACGAGTGTTTAAATGGCCCGAGCCACTACTCTCATCCATTTCCTCATCCACATTCATCTCGTCATCTGAATTATGAATAACTTCAGTAGCCCTCTGGCGAGCTTTTTCTAGTGCTGCTTGTACCTCCTGCACTTCTTGTGTGGTCTTTTTCCTTTCTTCCTTATACCTTTGTATCTCATCATCAATAGTTTTGTCATCAATATCCTTCTGTTTCAAAAAATTCTGAACTTTTTCTACCTGATGGTTAATGAGATCTGGAATAGCTTCTCGAACATCTTTATCAACAAACTCCTGAACGGCTGCCCCCATCCCTGTCTCGGAGAGCAAAAATAATTTTCGATTATCATCTGCAGCTTCAAAATATTCTTTGACCAGGTCTTCTACTCGAGACTGATCTAAACCTTCTTGTTTTAGAACTTTCTGTAATTGTTCCATATCAACAGCAACTTTGAAAGGTTTACTGCCTTCTGCTCTTTTACGATGAAAATGGATGATATCCTTGGGATTAGCCACTTTGTCTACGTACTTCTGGCCAAAACGATTAACACTGAAAGTCTCATATTTATCTGTGTATTCAACACGCAGACGAATTAGGGGCTTATTAGGCTGTTTTCTGTTTCCTAAAAAAATAAATTCAAATACTTGTGCAAAACTTCTATACATCTTTTTACTATTTTCTAAATTATGGAAAAACAACAACTGATTAAACAACAAAAATACTCATTAAGACATTGCCAACTACTGCTATAAACATTCATGTTTTCAACTATGCTAGACAATTTGCACGTTTTACTATTTTTATATCATAGAAAAACAACAACAACTGATTAAACAACAAAAATACTCATTAAGACATTGCCAACTACTGCTATAAACATTCATGTTTTCAACTATGCTAGACAATTTGCACATTTTACTATTTTTTAAATTATGCTCCACCCATGTTTGAGATAACTAACTTTTATAAGAAATGTGTCACATGGTATGCTCAATAAAAGGTTGAAATATCTGTTGGCCATTTTCTCTACAAGACCTAACAGTGTTGGTCTTTTACAAGTTTGAGAGATGTGTTACACATTGTGTATACAAGACCTAACATTGATGGTCTTTTACAAGGTTGAGAGATGTGTTACACATTGTGTGTACAAGACCTAACATTGATGATCTTTTACAAGTTTGAGAGATGTGTTGCACATTGTGTGTACAAGACCTAACATTGATGGTCTTTTACAAGGTTAAGAGATGTGTTACACATTGTGTGTACAAGACCTAACATTGATGGTCTTTTACAAGGTTAAGAGATGTGTTACACATTGTGTGTACAAGACCTAACATTAATGGTCTTTTACAAGGTTAAGAGATGTGTTACACATTGTGTGTACAAGACCTAACATTAATGGTCTTTTACAAAGTTAAGAGATGTGTTACACATTGTGTGTACA